AGGGTCTGTCTGCATTAAGAATGATATAATTTGTCCACCACATATAACTCCAGAGCCTATAATTTCTTCTTTCCATGCATCCTGGTTGTGGGTGGGTTTCAGTGAGGTTAAACAGATAAATCAGGTTTTTGTTGCTGGAAGTGCAAAGTACTTAATTATCACCTTGGTATTTGCCAACTTGAAAATTCAAGTAGCCAGTTGAGCTAGGAGATTTCTGCAGTGGGATCCTGGACAGACACAGGTGTCAGATGGAACTGGTATTTCCCAAAACTGAAAGTAGCCACTTGACATACACAATAGTGTGATAGGCAATGCATTCTTCTAGGAGGTTTCCCTGTCATCCCTCTCATCCTCCAAGCAATCACCCTTGGGGTGGGGGATGGTATGCTTAAAGGCCAAGCTTAATCTGGAGTGTAACATGTATTGAAACTGCTAGTTCTCTGCCAGGAATAATGGCAAGTCCCATAAACTCAGATCGTCCAAATAAAGACGGTCCTATTGCTACCAACATTGTGCCAACACTGAAAATTCAAGTATGCATACAGATACAATTCAAGATTGTAATGGTCTCAGCAATGGGAGGGGCAAAACTTCCATTTATGATATTAATACAAAAGTTAGACACCTTGTTAGGTGCAGTGAAGGAAGTGTTAAGGTAAGAAAAAGAAGAAGTTTTTAGCTCTATAAAGAAACAATCAAAGTATAAACTCCCTTTATGTATAGCAAAAGAGTTTTCGTTGGAAAGGTAAAAATGATTCATAGATTGTAAGGTTAGAAGGGACCTCAGAAGATCACTGGGTCCAGCCCCCTGCACCAGGCAGGAAAGACAGCTGGTGTCAGCTGACCCCAGTGAGGTGACTGTCCAGTTTCCTCTTGATATTTCCAAGGTAGGCAATTACACCACCTGTGAAGAGAGCTTATTCCACACTTTGGACACCCTTATTCTGAAGTAGTTTTTCCTAATTTTGAGCCTGAAACGGTCTTCCAGGGGTTTGTACTATTATGCCTAGTTTTCCCCAAGGGTGCCCCGGTGAACACTTGTTCACCGAGCCCTTGATGCACACCCCTGATGTAGTGGCAAGCTGCTACCAAGTCTCCTCCTAGCCTACTTTTTTCAGGCTGAAGAGTCCCAGATCCCTCAGCCTTTCCTTGTATGGCTTGCCATGCAAGTCTCTGATCATATGGGTGTCCCTTCTCTGGACTCTCTCAAGCTTTAGCACGTCCTTGTGAAAGTGCAGCACCCAGGACTGGATGAAGTACTCCAGCTGCGGTCTCACCAATGCCAAGCAGAGTGGGAAAATCACTTCTTTGGTTTTGCTGGAGTTGCATCGGTCGATGCATGCCAGCGTATTTTTAGTACTGCTGGCTACAGCATCTCACTGCCTGCTCATGTTCATCCTGTGGTCCATTATTACCCTCAGTTCCCTTTCATTCATAGTGCTGGTCAGGCTGCCGTTGCCAAGCCTGTAGGTAGGTATGCAGGGGATTGTTCATCCACAGGTGGAGCACTTTACATTTCTTAACGTTGAACTTCATCTGGTTCCAGTCCGCCCAACTTGCAAGTCTGTCTATGTCTGCCTGTATCTGCAGCCTAGCTTCAAGTGTGACCATGTTCCCCCGTAACTTGGTGTTGTCCACGAACTTGGTCAGTGAGCTCTTCACCCCCACATCCAAATCATCAATGAAGATGTTGAATAGTAGGCCTGTGCAAATAGGCAACTATTCGATTCAGATTTGGATTTGGACGATTCAATTAGGAAAAGATTCAGAGATTTGGCTATAGGGTATAATGGGGAATCAGTGAACTATCTATAACTTTGATGTTTGTTGTCTGATTCAGAAGAAACCTGTAGGGATGGTAGCCTCTACTGAGGGCATGAAATCTGACAAGTTTCAATGTGATAGGTGGAGGGGTTTCTGGGAAACTGCACCTCAAAGTCCTGAAAGCAAAACTCATGTCACAGGTCTGTGTTAAGCAACAGTGGGGTGAAAACTGCAGGAATGGTAGCTCTTGCTGAGGCCACAACACCTGCCAAGTTTCAAGGAGACAGGTGCATGGGGTTCTGGGAAACTGCACCTCAAACTGCTGACAAGCAAAACTCATGACATAGGTGACACTGTGTGTGTGTTAAGGCACAGGGGGGTGAAAACTTCTAGCGCCAGCTGTGGCCACAAATCCTGCCAGCTGTCTGGAGCCCTGAACCTCTGGCCGCCGGCAGCCAAAACTCGTGACATGGGTGCTTGTGGGACTACGTGTGTGTTCAGGTGCACCCTTCCTGGCTCTGGGGCCTCTGCAGCAGTGTGCCCCTATGAGGCCTCCTCCTCCCCTACTGCCTCAGTTCAGCCCACCACTCTAAATGATGGCAGGTCAAAATAACTTAGCTGGCTCAACTTGCAGGAATGGTAGCCCCTTCAGAGGGCATGAAGTCTGCCAAGTTTTAAGAAGATAGGTGCAGGGGGTTTGGGGAAACTGCACCCCAAAGTCTTGAAAGCAAAACTCATGTCACATGTATGTGTTAAGCCACAGTGGGGTCAAAACTGCAGGTTTGCTAGCCCCTGCTGAGGCTGAGGCCTGCTAAGTAGGAAAAACTACTTCACAACTAGTGTGTCCAGACTGTGGAATAAACTCCCTCCAGAGGTAGTGCGATCACCTACCCTGGAAATCTTCAAGAGGAGACTAGACAGTTACACTGATAGGGTCACCTGACCCTGCATTGTCTGTCCTGCTTGGGGCAGGGGGCTGGACCCGATGATCTTCCAAGGTCCCTTCTGGCCTTACAATCTATGAATCTAGGAGTGGCTGGAGCCTAAGTCTTAGGAGATATGGCTTTGAAACAGTTTCTTTCAGGCCCCAGAACCTTCCTGCACCTATCTCTGTGACAGCTAGCAGGCTTCATGGCCTCAGTAGGAGCTAGTAGGCCTGCAGCTTTCATTCTGCTGCACCTTAACACACAGTGTTAACCATGTCATGAGTTTCGTTTGTCCGCAGCTTGAGATATAGTTTCCCCCAAACCCCTGCATCTATCTCCTTGAAACTTGGCAGGCTCTGTGGCCTCAGCAGGGGCTAGCATGCCTGCAGTTTTGACCCTGCTGTGGCTTAACACGTACACATGACATGAGTTTTGCTTTCAAGACTTTGGGGTGCAGTTTCCCTGAGCTCCCTGCACCTATCTCCTTGAAATGTGGTGGACCTCATGCCCTCAGAAGGGGCTACCACTCCTGCAAGTTTCATCCAAATCAGGCCAGAAATGATAAAGTTATAGCCTGTTTTGACCTTCCCCATTATATCCTACGGGTGAAATGTTGAAACAGTTTTGCTGTTTTGACGGAACAGAACGGAACAGCTATTTTGAATCGAAACAAAATTTGAAATGGGATGCTGTTGCATCGAAACGTGGAAACGCTGGTTGAAACAGAACGCTGCCATTTCGCACAGCCCTTCTGTCTGCCACCAATCATGTCCAGAGACACAGGCAGGGGAGTTGTGCAGAGAGTAACATGGAATTTCCCCCAACCACATCAGGCAGCAGCTGAGGAGACTCACTCATTTCTTGGGTTGAAATCATCCCACACCTACCACTGAGCCTACCCAGCTCCTCTTCTCTTATTGTTCTTTTTTCCTTTGGAGACCATCTTTTTATTCTATGCACGTACAGCACCTGGCACAATGGAATCCCACCCCATGGCTGGGGCTGCTATATGCTCCTGCAGGATAAATACGGATCATATCTGAGCCTGACACCGGCATAAAAGGGACTGAAAAATGGGAGACGGTTTAATGAATACTTTCAAATAGGTCAGAGCTTTCCTTTAGTTGAAGTTTGTGTGACTGTTTTTTTCCCAGTTTTTCATCTTTCTTCCTCTTTCCTCCCCTGCTGCTGCCTGCAAATGTGTGCACCTTGAAAGAACAAATGTATGTATTTATTGTGTGTCTGTGTATTTGGAAGCATGTGAATGGCGAGTGAGTTTGTATGTGTGCTTCTGACTTCCTAAGATACAGGCATCTCAGGAGTGACAAGTGAGCAAGATTTAATGACTCATAATCCTCTCATTTCTCTGTCCTGAGAGCATTTAGACACAACCAGTTCACTCCAGACCAGGGCACAGAGGCTCAAGTGTCTAGCTTTAGGAGTGTCCAGGATCCCACTGCTGAAACCTACTAGCTCAAGTGACTACTTTAATTTTCAAGTTGGCAAATACCAAGGTGGTAATTGAATACTTTACATTTCCAGCAAAATCAGCAGAACCTGTTTTATCTATTTAACTTCACCCACACCCATTCCACAACAAGGAAGTGTGGAGTCTCTGAAGCTACACCTGGCGGATGAACTATGTAGCTCTCAATGCAGATAGAACCTAACATTGTAGGCATTACAAAACCAGTTACAGAACTGGGTTCAACTACATCTGGTTCAGTTAAACTACATCCGTCGAGCATTAGCTATCACACAATGACTGGGCCCCTAAACGAGATATAACCCCATGCATGTGCATCATGTTGCAGGTTGTAACAGATCATTGGGTTCTAAAGTGTAATGTCTATCATGGCCTATTATGTCTTGTATAGTTGGGATTACAAGGAATGTGGAAAGGAGTTGATCCCTATTTCTCATTCCTGTGTTATTAAATTCCTTTCACTAGCTAATACCTTCATTCATTTATCTTAAAACGTTTAAGTAAAGTGGCCAGAGCACCTTGCGGGGCAGCAAGAGATGCAGGTTCAACTTCCTTTGGTTGGGGTGCCTAGAACCTGGATTTCCTACTCTCAGGAATAGTGATGTATTGGGCATGCACAGGATAATCCTATTCCACTATAGGTGGAAACAGAAACCAAACTGTGTGCATGTCCCACTTAAGTACATGAAGGTGAAATGGGATTTAGTCCTTTGTCCCTTTATAATTGTAGTAGTAGTTACTTTTGCGGGAGATTTTGAACAAAGCATGTATCATTACTTTGCCTCCAGAAAACATCAGTAGTCTATTTGTTTTGATCGTTGCAGTGAGAAGAACTGTTCTGAGTTGCTGGAAGCATTTAAAAAGGCTTTTATGAACAAGGATCCTTGCAACATTTTACCATCAGACTATGAATTATTTATTAACCTGTCACAACACTCAATTCCACCTAACAAGGTACTAATTATCTGAGTTACACGAGACAACCAACAACATCTGCCACTTCCTGGACTCAGCAGTCAGAATTGAGCAAATTTGATATCATGAGTCACAGTCTGTCTTACTGACTTAAAGATCTAGTTACTCTGTGTGTTACTAACTAAAAGGTTTAGTTAGTTCTTGTCCCCCAACAGCTGTAGAGTGCAAATAAGATGTGATTTAGTCTTTACCTATGTGACAGTGACCATGGCTACATATGCACTTTACTGCAGAGTAGACTAGCTGCAGAGTAAAGTGTCACTGTCTACATGTGCAATGCTATTAGGTATCAGTAAACTAATTTATGCCAGTGTAAGATAGTATTGTTTCTGACAGTACTATCTTACATAGGGGTAATTTACTATAATTAAATGCAAATTTAGATGCTGACCATGGGCACAAATTGAACCCAGTCACCCCAGCCAGCTGGGTGCCAAGCTACTACATGTCACCTAGCCACACAGCTCTGCACTTTCAACATTTTTGTGCCCCATCCAGCCCCTCCACCACCTGACACTGCCACCTGCACCCCAAGTCTGACCCTCAAGCCCTCTGCCAGCCTGGGCCTGCTCCGCCCCAGCTCAGATTCCTGCTGTCCTGGGCACACATTTAGACATTGTACCTGGGAGTAGTTTACTCTGACTCAAACTGCTCTGAAGTTTATTGCTTCACACTAATTGCATGTGTAGATGCACCCAGTATTTTTGAACACCCGCATCCAACTAACTCTAGAATTTCAGGGAATGCTCTAGGCGTCAGTGGCCAGAGTTCTCTACTGATTTGAGGAAAATGAGAAAATAGAAAGAGTGAAAAATGGGTGAAACGTAGAACTGCTGGCACTTTCTCAGCACAGTCACAGCTCTGAGGACCTCTGCCTTTGGTTGAGCTGACTGCACATTCAAGGGGTCCCTTGCAATTGCCTCAGCATGGTAAGTAGCGATGCTGTGAGGTGCAATGGGCATCCCTTCTATTTTAGGGACTTCTTGAAGTCCCTCACCCTCTTTTCTCGTCCCAATCCCACTGAAGTTTTCCCACAGCTTTCTCTTCCCTCACACCCGTATCTTCCACTCACCTTCCTGACAAGTACTCTGTAGATCCCACTTTTTCCCTTTCTCCCTTTTCAAAGTCTCCCATTCTCTCTGCCAGCCCAGTTCATAGGATCATAGAAAATTATGGTTGGAAGGGACCTCAAGAGGTCACCTAGTCCAACTCCTTGCTCAAACCAGGACTATCCCCAACTAGATCATTCCAGCCAGGGCTTTCTTCAGCCAGGCCTTAAAAACCTTGGAGGATAGAGATTCCACCACTTCTCTGGGTAACCTGTTCTAGTGCTTCACCACCCTCCTAGTGAGAAAGTTTTTCCTAATATCCAACCTACACTTCCATTGCTGAAACTTGAGACCATTACTCCTTGTTCTGTTATCTGCCACCACCGAGAACAGTCTAGCTCCATCGTCTCTGGCATCACCTTTTAGGTAGCTGAAGGCTGCTATAAAATCCCCACTTAGTTTTCTCTTCTGCAGACTAAATAAGGCCAGTTCCCTCAGCCTCACTTCATAGATCATGTGCCTCAGCCCCCTAACCATTTTCCTTGCCTTCCATTGGACTCTCTCCAATTTGTCCATATCTTTTCTGTAGTGGAGTGGCCAAAACTGGACACTCTACTCCAGATGTGGCCTCACCAGTGCTGAATAGGAGGGGAGAATCAATTCCCTTGATATGCTCACAATTTGCCTACTAATATAGCTCAGTATTTATCAGCCTCGGCAACAAGGGGACACACTTGGCTTCTATTCAGCTTATTGTCCACTGTAACACCCAGGTCTTTTTCTGCAAAGCTGCTGCTTAGCCAGTTGGTCCCCAGCCTGTACCAGTGCATGGATTGTTCTGTCCTAAGTGCAGATTTAAGCCAGATTTACAAAGTAAAAAGGGCAAATTCTGTTTCTATCACAAAAGCATGAAGTATTCCCTCAGTAACATGTTAAAAACCATTTGTGAGATTCTGACATACATAGAAATATCAAGAAGTGATTTTACATATTTTTTGCATTTACATAATAGCAATGCCATTGCATAAAAATACCCAAGTACTGGTTTGATTAGTTTTTAAAATTAATTCTGTTTTCTTTACTTAGTCTCTATTCTGGGAAAACAACCAATTTCTAGTCAGTAGCTATGCAGCTAGAACTCATCGATATATGCCCCTAGGTGATACTCTAATTGGGGCCTTTGGAGACTTGCTGAACTGGTGTGGACAAGCAAACAATACTGGTAAGACAATAAATGATATAAGTTGATTAAAAATTATGGCAGTGGCTTAAAAGATAGGTGGATGGCCTGTAGTGGAGGTATGGGTCTGCTTCCTGATCAGTGAAATCAGGGCTATCTTGTATAACATTTTACACTTTATCTATATCTGAACAACTCACTGAAGAACTCATTTGGAGGCATTACAAAGGTAAATTTATGTCTCTTTTACTGGTCCTGCCTGAAATCCTGAGATCCTATCCAGTTTCACAGCATACTTTATCTCGGCCTTAACCAACGTACAGTATATGCTTTTTGGGCCAGAATGTGTCATTGATCAAGTGTAAGAGCTAGTACATGCAGAGAAATGATGCAGAACTGTTGTGTATTCTTATCAGGTGCCCAGCCATATAAGCCTCTATAGCCAGTGATTAAGCAGAAACACATCCAGGCATCTTCTCATGCCACTTCAGATTTTTCTTTGTTTGTCATCTCCTCAGTTACGTATTTTATATATCTTCCCACAGAAGTAGATGACTCCTGCCCGACCACAGAAGAATGTGAAAATAACGCAGTAGAATCTTTCTGGCGGATTGCATCAATCAATGTAAATTATATAGGAGTTTACCTTCCTTGAACATATTTCTAGGTAGCTCAGAAATATGTTACCCATCATGTAGACATAACTGTAGGCCTGATCTAGCATAGGATGGAAAAGTGTGATGATAACAAGGGGAGCTTAACCGTGATGAACTAAAACATGTTAAAATTGCCATTTGCCTCATCTATACTAGCATTTAAAGTGTTCATTAACTCGTATTAAAATGTACAATTTTTTCTTCATGAAGATAAAGCCAAAGAAATTTGAGCTGTGAAGAAAGACGCTAGTCTGGCAGTTAAGTGGAAGTTTTATCTGCCCAAGACACTGTCACTTTCTCTTGCAGCAATAAGGCTTACCGTTTATAGATAAGCCTGGTTTAATATTTTACCATTTAGTTACATGTGATTAGATAAGCTATCTTTTGCTGTTTCTCCAGTGACTTCAGCAAAATTATTCCAGCTGTGTATTGTTCTAATTGCAGAGCAAGTAGAACGCAGAGTTGCAGTGCAAAGCTTTTTGTACTAATCTGCAAGTGTCCCTTGACCTTGCCCCAGATTTGTTAGATACTCTGATGCCTGGGCATGGGCCAAGTATTCAAGTACTAGCTGGGATCAGTTTTAGGTGGGAAAAAAACACCACCACCCCTCTTACAGCCATTCATATCCTCTTCTGCAGCTGCCAGCTAGGATGCCAGTTTTGATGGTCATTTTGGCAAGCAGTGTCTTCACTGATGAAGTGCCATGTCCATTGGCCATGACTACTTAATTGTAGCACTAAACCTTACATTAAAAAAAAGTCTATAGGGGATGGTCTGAGAAATAATCTTCTCTTCTCTATTGCAGTATGCAAAGCAGAGTTCTGGAATAATACATGTCATGCTGAATGGTTCTGCAACAGGAGGAGCCTATCCAGTTAAAGGGTAAAAGAAATTAAAACAACCCCCCCCCCCCAAAAAAAACAACAACAACACAGGACTATATATGGTCTGATCTCAGAAAAAACAAAAAACAAAAAAACAAAAACAAAAAAAAACACCAAGTGTTTGGGGACTGCACCATGCACACCTGTGGACAGGAATAATTCTCAGAAGTCCATAGCAGCACAGTCACTCTTATATTTTAATTAGACAAGAATTTCAGAAGTACTTATATGAGATTGATAAGACTTGAGCTCCTGAGTATGAAAGTCACTTTGAAAATGTGGTTCAAACTCCTAGGGGAGTCCAAAAAATAGAATTAGCTGCAGGCAGACATCACATACTCCACTGACAATTGCATCAGCCTAGTATAAATCAGTCAGGAACAAAGAGACAGGCAGCTAAATAGGTTAGCTGCACAGAATAGGTGACTAGTATTATATCCCACCACAGAATAATGACAGCCATCACAGGAATTACTGTGGGAAATTTTGGGACCGGCTTTGTAGAAGAGATCAGATCACAGAGGTCTGTTCTAACCTTTACTACAAGCCTTGTACCCAGCACAGTACTAAAAAGTAAAAAACTTAAGAAAGAAGAAATTCTACTGAAGTGAGTTTGTGTCAGGCTAGGCAACAGATGTTTTTTAAAAAGCCAGTTACATATGCAAATAACCACAGATAACATTTTTTGCAGCCTTTAAACCAGCCTCCCTCCCACATCCTAATTTGGCCATAATAGTTTGAATTAAATCAATTTTGTATATGCCTCATACATATCCAGTCCCTTCACAAACATTTAGGTATAAGAATATAAAAAGACTTTTTCAATGACAGAAAGTTTTTAAAATTTATTACAGAAAATTTCACATAATACAAATGCAGATATTTCCAGTGCTCTTTTCAAGAAAAAAAGTGATCCTGTCAAAATGATACAATGTGCATGAAGAAATCACTGCCTAGGACACCGTCATGTTCTCTTGCAGCAACAAGGTTTACCATTTATAAATAAGCCTGGTTTAATATTTTACCATTCCATTACATGTGAGTAGATAATGTATCTCCAGTGGCTTCAGCAAAATTATTCCAGCTAGGTATTTTGCCCTTCGGACACAGATAGCGTTCAAGAGTCTAACAAACCATGCCTATGGAGGACAATCACGGGACGGGGTTCCCAAGAATGGCTGTGTTACCCCTAAGGCCCCTTGACCATGCCAATTTGGTCCACTGCGCACTCTCAGTTCTAGCCCGCCATGTCGTGGTGGATTTACAGTATATGAAGGCTGCCTTTAAGTCCTCTTGGACATGGACTGATAGACTTTCTGAACCCCATGGGTTCCCAGACCCCTTGTGGGTCCAGCTTCAAAATAGATGTCACAGGACACCTCAGCCTTATGGACTATATGCATGTCTCCAACTGCCTCTTTACCATACCCCAAGCCTTGCAGATGGTACTGGCATTATCTTGCCTAGGTCTCATTATAATTTGGCCCCTTGTCCTCACTGGGCTCTCTGCATCCCTGTCCCTGCACCCCTCAGTACTGGAGTCTCTGCACCCCCAAATGCCACACTCTCTCTGATGCCAGGGTCCCCCAGTGAGGCCTCCTCCTTCCCCAAATAGCCTCACCCAAACCATCAGTGTTATAAAACAACAACCAAACATAAGCCCCTGGGTTATAACATAACACAAACTGCCCAGCTATAACACAATTTGAGCCACACAGGGCATGCTCTGTCCCTTAACAATACCAGAAGCTGCACTTGCAGTCAGGCCTCTCCCCTTCACTTCCTCTAGGAGAGCTCCTTCCCCCTTGGCTGCTGGCAGAAAACTGCCCTCCTGGCCTTTGGCCTGGGGTTTACATACGAGCCAGGCCCTGCCCTTTCTGGTCAGCTGACCTCTGGCAGGTGTGGGCCCACTAGCTCCTTCTGGCTGCCCTGGTAACCAGCAGCTGGGGCTCTCCCCCTAGCAGTTCCAGCCCTTAAAAGGAGCAGGATACCCTAGTGTCCTGCGACAAGGACTTTCCTTCCAGGCTAGGATGGGACAAATGGAAAAAACTACTTCCATGTGGTTTTATGTGTTTTCATAACCCTATGATTTATTTATACAGAGTGACATTTGTCTTGTTTTTGTTACTCTTACTTTAGAGAATGTCCCCCCCCCCC